CATATCTAGTGTGGTTCACCCAAAATTAGGGTTACGTCCATAACTTGCAGGAATTTTATTATAATGATAAAAAAAATCGCTGAAGACACAGAGAGTTCAGAATAAATAAATATCATCGCGGTAGGACTCATGCAATATAACAAATACGGAATATACCAAAATGCCTCCAAAAATCTTGAGTTGAAGGTAGCGGACCCTAGTGTATAGTACTCCCTCCGTCCCAAAATAGTTGTCCATTTTTCCATTTTGGAATGTCCCAAAAAGCATATCCCATTCTAAAATTGAATCTACTATTTTTTATAACATTCCCAAACTATCCTTTTAACTAAACAACTATACTAATTACGGAGCACTATTTTGTCTTTTAGTAAGGCCGGGCATATTTGAAATTTCACTCTTATTAATACAATAAAAAATAAAAAGTTGGAATCCCCATACAGGACATGTATATTGGGACGGAGGAAGTAATATTTATCAGGCTTCACACTACCGATCAAATTAAAAGTGGAGGGTTTAAGTCGCCATAAGAACATGTGGGTATGTGAATTTTTTGCATAGATAAAAGAAAATTTAAAAACCAAACTTGAAATCAACCAAAATAAGCAGCACGGTTATAGACCTGTAAACGGGTCGGATTCGGACCGGATCAGTGATGATCCGATCCGAATCCGATAAGGTTATGCTCGATCTGATCCAATCTGACAATCCGACGGATATGTTGTGAATCAATCCATATCTGATTTGTTAATAAATAGATATTCGATTCGATAATCCGGTCTGGTTCGATCCGATAAAGGGGTGTGGGTACAAATTTTTTTTTTTATTAAAAAAAAAAAAATTATGTCAAAAGAGAATAAAAATAATAAATAAAAGATAAAGAAAATAAGAAGAAAGAAAATTATATCTTTTATTCTTTGTTACAAAATAAAAATTTCAAAATAAGAAAAAATAAAGAAGGTGAAGAAAAAGAGGAGAAAATAATGTTAAGAATATTTGATAATATATAAATATTATATATTATAAAATTAGATTATATATGTTTAATTTATTATATAACATATTATTTCGGATTGGATCGATCATAATCCATATCCGATTTGTTTAGTTAACGGATTATCGAATTCAGATCATTAACGGGTTATCAGATTAAATTTTCAATCCATATCCTAGTTATTGGTCGGATCGAATTCAAATTGGATTCGGATTAAAATCCGATTCATTGACAAGTCTAACGGTTACTCTTTATGTCATTCCCCTACCCCAAAATTCAAGCAATTTTATATAAATGTGAAGAAAGGCTTCAATGGTGCGTCTCAGTTTAACATTAGTTAATTATAATCTTAGAATTCATCCAATTCCCTTGTAATTAAATACCTCAAAACAAACACACCGGTACCATGGTTAAGCATAGTTCGTCTGTTCCAACATTTCACGAAGGCCTTATTTGGCAACTGCTTTTACTTCATATATTCTTTTTTTTATTCAAATAGTATACTATAGCAAAACAAAATACAAAATCGTGTTTGGTAACGTTGGCTGCGATTTGAGTAGTACCGAAATGTTTTAGAAAAAGAAGCCAAAATTGAAAGCACCAAATTGGTGTTTACGGTTACTTCCATACTATAGCAATGAACATTAAAAAATAATAATAATAATAAAACTGTCTTAAACTACCTTTTTAATTGACCATTTTATTTTTCAAATTTACAACATTATTTTTTACCAAGCTTGTTTTTGCTTCCAAAATTCTTTCAATATATATATAGTTACCAAACATGGATGTTACTTCTGTTTTAAGTCAAAACAAAAACACGAAGCAAAAGTAGTTGACAAACGGCCCTAAACATATATTGATTGGCCATTTTTTGTTCTTAATTAATAAATGTCTCACTTGGAGTACTAAAAAATAATTGATTGATAAAAATCAACTCACTTATTACATATATCTTATTTTATCTTGCATTTCAAATTTAGTTACTATTCTTCGTAGCTCACAAAAAAGTTAGTTATATGTATTTAAATATTATACCAAAGTGATCTAACCTAATAGGATATTCTAAGATGAGAGGGTTAGCGGAGTTGGGCAAAAATGTATGTGAGTTGGAGGACCAATATATATATATATATATATATATATATATATCTACTAAATTCGGGTTAAATCAAACGGTTAATTTAATTAAAAAAACACCTTAGCAAGGGTTAATAACTAAAATGTAAACACTAAAAAATAACCCATCAAAAAACACTTTAGGCAAAAGTAATTATAAATATGTCAATTTTCACTATTAATGAATACATGGAGACGAAATTACCCTTAAGTACTTTATGAAATTTACCAAATTAAACTTATAATTATAATATAAACACTCCCACACTCATTGCCTCTTCTCTCTCTCTCTCTAGAAGTACAAATTCTTGTAAATCTAACTTTCTTTTTCTAAGAGTTTGTATTCTCGCTCTTTTATTGTTTTTGGCTTTGGTTGAGACCTAAGATTGCAAACCCAACAAACACATAGAGGGACCATAATTAAATCTTAAACCAGAAGCAACATATATCTCAGGGAGAGTAGTCGAAGCCCTTATCACCCTCTGTTTGATATATTGAATCAATTATATCTATAAGTGTTTCAGAGGGCTTGGATGACGATGAGTTTTGGCTTTCTCCTCAAATTCTCACCAATGAAGACATACTCATGGACTACAACAAATGATCACCACCGTGTATTCATAAACAGTTCTTGTTGCACCTCTCGCTCCTCCCATTCCTTCCAATATAAAACTTTCTGCTACACTAATGTAAAACTTTTACTGAATAACGTAAAACTTCTACTTAAGAAAAGTAAAACGATAATAACATTATGTAAAACCTTTACTACATAATATAAAATTTTCACTTAAAAATGTAAAACTCGCACGTAAACAAAGTAAAAAATTCAATACACTTAAAACCTTCTCATCTTTCCTTCATTTTTCTCCTTGCTCAACTTTCTCCAAATCAATGGCGAACTCTACTCTGGGTGAGGGGGTCTTGGCATCTATACCATCAACCCATTGGATTTGCACATAGACAACCCGCACCCCTGCTCTCCTTGTTCCTGTTAAGCCTTTCGCTCATTCAGTTCCTTTTAACGCAGAGCTAGCACAAGAGGAGTAATGGGATGTCGTGCCCTAGGTCTACAAAAGAGAAAGATGATGAGGTGTGAATTTCATATTAAGAATAGTACTTAGTTGGTAAAATAAGGGTAATTTAATAAATTTCAATTAGTATTTAAGGGTAATTTTGTCTCTATGTATTCATGAACCTAAAAAATTGGCACATTTGTAATTACTTTTACCTAAATTATTTTTTGATGGAGTTATTTTTTGAGTATTTACATTTTAGTAATTAACCATTGCTAAGGTATTTTTTTTTATTAAACTAACCCACAAAAACCATTTTTTTTTCCACTTAAATTGAATGCATCATTTGTAATAGGGTAATTTACATAAACATTCCCTATGGTTTGCCATAATTACAGAAACCTCCCCTCTGGTTTGAGAATTTACTCTGACCTCCCCTAAAAATAAAATTATTCTACACGAACCTCCTTTATGTGTGACGGACCATCAAATACACTAACGGACCTGGCTAATTTATTGAAATGCCCTTAATTTTTCATGGTAAATTACTGAAGTACCCTATATATATATATATATATATATATATATATATATAGAGAGAGAGAGAGAGAGAGAGAGAGAGAGAGAGAGAGAAAAACAATAAAACAAAAAAACAAAAAAAAATCTTAAACTGTTTGGGCCGCCACCACCAACCATGTGCGTCACCGCCACCAACAAAATAACCATGAACCTGGTCATGAAAATTAACCCACCATGGCTGCAAAGTTTTGTTCTCTCTCCTCTCATCTCTCTCTCCCACCCTTTGTCTATATATATTTATACACACACACACACACATATGTTGCTTGTGTAATTCTTCAATTACATATATTCCAGACAATCAAAGAATTTTCAGAGACCATGAATACAGTACTTGAAGGTGTCAAGTTTCTAATTTCCACTTCCGCAAGAAGCAAAAAGGGAGATTTTGACTTACCCAAAAAAAAAACTTACCCAAATCAAGGGAACAAAAAAAGCCCTTACCCAAAATTTTGACCTCATCGGAGAAGAAACATTGCTTCCGTTCAAACCCAGGTAACCTAAACCATACCAATATATGTTGATTATGCAACTCATGCTCCAAATCAACGTAACGGTTATCAAAATTAAAGTGTTCTTGTAAGTTCAAACTCAGTAATTGATCGATTCAGAGATATATTATAACTAAAAAAATGATATTGTGGCGAAATTAAGGAAACAATCTTGTGGATAGGCTGACAGACCACCATAGGGGATAGCACTGGGACTGATTCCAGCGGTGATGGACGGCAGTGACTAAACGTGGAGGACACGAAGGAGCCACCAGAGTCAAAGTCGGGAGATCGAAGCTTGAGATTGTGAAGAACCCATCTCAAGGAGTTCATTTTCTCTTCGCTGCCTTCATCCTACGATCAGGCACCATGGCTTCCCTATTTAGTTTATTTTATTCTTCTTCTTTTTTTCTTTTTATTTCTTATTTTTTCACATATTTTTTATATTTTTATATTGTTTTGTTATCAATATTTCATTGGCTTGTAAGATTACACTTTACACATACACAACAAATATATATATATATATGTGTGTGTGTGTGTGTGTGTGTGTGTGTGACATCAGCAATTATATATAAGGGTATTATGAAAATTTTAGTAAAATTTGTACATGATGTCAGCAATTTTCGTCGTTGACTCTAACAGAAGGGAGATTCGTATAGGATATTTTCATTCCTAAGGGAAGTTCGAGTAAATTTCTAAATTAGAAGGGGGTCTTTGTAATTATGACAAATCATAAATGATGTTAGTGTAAATTACCTTTTGTAATATATAATACTTTTCAACTTCCGCTGCTGACGTTGGGAAAATGTACAATACAAAAGGCTCATCATAATTTTATCACGTATTGGTGAGTTGCCTAGGTCTGATTTCTCCCGCCAAACAATTCCAATTTGGGGTTTTCTTTCTTTCTCCGGTTAAATTTCAACAGTTAGTTACAGTTAGTTATAGAAGATTGTCACAATAGTTTCGTCAAACAATCCCAAATTAAGGGTTTCGTTCTTTCTCTGCTAATTTTCAACCGTCAGATATGGAAGACGCTTCTCCTCCGTGGACGACCGTGGCTCCGGCGACCTCACTCATGTCGGAGGTAATCGGCCATAACGGTTCAACCTATTCTGAATAGACTCTGAGTCTGCTGTTAATTCATCATCATCATATTTTCTCCACATATATAGATATATGCATTCATATTTTACCGATTTGTTTGATTGTTCTTTTTTTTTTTACTGATTTATTAGAATATATCTGGTGTTGGTTTGGGGTTTAGTGGAAGGCTAAGGCAGGGGGTGTTTCTTGAGGTTGAGAATTTGCAATTGCTGTGTGTATAATTGTTTTGTTTTTTGATCGACTTTTGTGTTTAATAGTTCTATTTTTGATAAATTTCTTCCTCCATGTTGAGTAATTAAGATATTGCTGAAAGTGCATTCCTTCCTTAAGCTAATAGTAAGATAATTGTTATTATTACTATTATTATTTTTTCAGGTACATTTTGTTTGGTATGAATGATGGTTAGGGTTTGTTGCTGAACACAAATTGGGGGTTTTTGATTTTAAACTGTATACCTATAACATGTATTTGTGTATATAATCCATTTAACTGTCATAAGGGTAATTTTTGTCTTTATAAAATTTTGCCCCAGCCATGTGTGTCACGTGCCTTACATTGAGAATTAGATTTTAAAGGCCATTTAAGAGGTGCTACATATCTATTCGAGAACTTTTCTAAGTTACAGTATTTATGTAAGGTTAAAAATAATAATTTTAGCTCTACAGAAGGGGGGAAAAAAACCATTAATTTGAGATCGATCAAATTCCTTAACAGTTGGTATATGGTTGTCTAAAAATGATAATGCAACAAAAAGTTGCACTGCAGAATGTTCTCACAAATTATCATGGAAAATTCATGCTTAAAGTTCGCTCATATATTATCTTTCACTTTGAAGTTGAAGCCAAACACATAGCTGCATATGCATAAAACTAATAAAAATTGGACAATCTATCTGCTTAAACCTAACAATTGCATGACAGGTGAAGAGACATTAAAAACATAACTATATAGAATGCATGAGTAAGACATCTAAGCAGCGTTCAGATAATTTGGCTAGCTCCATGTCCCGAAAGGTTCAGATGCTAACATGGCAAAATCAGGACTAAACAATCATCTCCTACCATCGATAGGCAATATTACATGTTCCCTTGGGCTATCAAACTTGGCATTTGTAGCACTACTACCACCATATTCGTTGGCATTTGATCTCTCATCAAGCAAGGACTCAGTCTCCTCCAAATTCAATGCTATGCCAACCCATTGATGCTTCTCTACCATCCTTAGCCCCTCTAGTCCCATTCCTACTTCCTTCATAGAAGGTCTGTCCTCCCCCTTCAGGTTTAAGCACCTCCTTGCAATCTCTGCAACTTCCGTGAGCTGCTCAGCATTTCCATCACACACTAGATGGTCCTCAAGAACTTGAAACAAGCGACCCTTTTCCAGCGAAGAAAGAAAATACGTAGCTAGACTCCTCTCCTCCTCTGACCTATCAAAAGAAAGGGCCTTCTTTCCAGTTAGTAGCTCTACAAGGACTACCCCGAAGCTATAAACATCACTCTTCTCAGTCAATTGGCTCGTGTGCATGTACTCAGGGTCCAAGTATCCAAGAGTTCCTTGCACCATCGTACAGAACTGAGCTTGATCCAACGGAACCAACCTTGATGTTCCAAAGTCAGACACTTTTGCAATGTAGTTATCATCTAAGAGTATGTTTGCAGACTTGATATCTCTATGGATGATCGGGGTAGAAGCTGCAGAGTGCAAATATGATAGAACCCCAGCAGTTTCTGCTGCAATCCTTAGACGGATATCCCAAGAAATGGCGGTTTCCTTTCTTTTTTTATGGATGTGTTCAAAGAGGGTGCCATTGTTGATGAACTCATAAACTAGTAGAGGGACCTCTGTCTCCAAACAACAACCCAATAGCTTTACCACATTTCTATGGTTGATCTGAAAGAGTACAATCACCTCGTTGATGAATTGTTCAATTTGGCCTTGATCCACTATTTTAGACTTCTTGATGGCAACTATTCTGCTGTCTGTTAAGTAGCCTTTATAAACTGTGCCATAACCTCCTCGACCAATTATTCTGCTATCGTCATAGTTGTTAGTAGCCATCTGAAGCTCTTTCTCGGTGAAAATTTTGACTGTATCCTTGGTTCCTTCTTGTCCAGAGAGCTGTTGTCGTAACATTAAACCACCATTTTGCTGAAATAATTTTACTTTGATCCTAACGAGCTTTCTTTTCTTCAATCCAAAGTACAACCAGGAGCTACCAACAAGCAGAACTGTTACCACTGTAGCAATTCCTGTAATTGAAATTAGAAAGGAATATTTTACTTCTTTTTGTAAGTAATTTAAGTAAAGCGTGAATAAAATACTGAAAAGTCCAAAGGATACCGTACAGTACTGAAAAGAAGTAAGATGAACATAACACAACCAAGAATATAAAACTCCCCCTTATATTTATATCCGTGGACAATTTGCTGGGAATATAATTCACCAAAAAACTTGGAGACCATAGTATTTTAAGGATAAAACAATCCATAATAAGCAGGAAAAACTAACATTTCATTCAAGAACCCCGAACCTGTTATTACAAATTAGCTAATTGCTTTATCACAACTAGCCTTCACTTTCAATTCCATACTTGACCAACTCGTGATGGTGCCACTCAACAATTGTGAGGTTTAGAAGGTTGTCTTGAATTACTACACTAACAAAGGAAGACAATACCTAAGGAGATCACTCTACCAAAGTATCTTTGTGGCCCAAAGGGTAATATAAATGAATTGATGGATATAAACTATATTCATTGATCTGATATTTCCCTCTTTTCAACTGGTGGCATCAATTGCTAAGGATATCTGATAAATTGAATCATCATTATATCTGAGGAGGAAATTAGAATCCATCTAATATACTTACCAACATAAAGAGTAATCACGAGTAGTTGATCAACAACGCAACCTTCTCCATTTGTTCTACTGTCCCAACGGTATCCTTTGGGGCAAGAACATTTATAATTGCCTGCAATGTTAACACAATGTTTTGGGCACCTGTTGAGACTTGGGTCCTCACATTCATTAATATCTGCAAAACAATTAAAGAATTAAATTGAGGCACATGTCAGGAAAACACTTAGAAGCAATGCAATTAAAGGTTTAATACAAACATAAATATGGTGAATACCTTGGCAACCATTGGACAGGTATGGGTTACCTTCGTAACCATTAAAGCATCTGCATCGATAGCCAGGACCATTTTCCGGTTCATAGCACTCGCTATTTTCTTTACATGCATAGCTAATCATATTCTTGCTAGCCACTTCACATGTCTCATTACCAATGGTCCAATCAAGCACCAACGGAAGCTTTTTTCTGTTCTTCAAATCGCGAAGATAATTTTTTGAGAAGTTGAACTCGCTTTCTTCTACAACAAAGGCATAGCTGCAGGGGTTGAAGCCATGTATATATGTATGATTGTAGTAGCTACTTAGTGTCAAATTAATTTCCCTTACCCCTTTGGGGATGGATGTTTGGCAACAGCCAAACCCGGAACAAGAACCATCAGTAATGTCATCCATGCTATCACAAAGGGACATACACCCAGTCGTGTACATCTTATCACCTTCGTAAGCGTGTAAAATGGCGTAAGTATCACAACCAACTGCTACGAACTTATTCTGGGTATTAGAAATGGTGAATTTGGTCAGCTTGAATATGGGCTCGTTGTAGGTCGTCCTGTGACCATGATCATAACAATCATGAGCGGTAAACTTCAAGACATGCAACTGACCTTCGAGTGTAATTTTGGTAACGTTTTTTGTACTACTCTCTAAAAATGGTTTGGCAGGACTGAAGGAATTGTTACAGGTGATGTGGAAATGTTTGTCAAGATAACAGTCCGGGGTCATGCCGAATGGGTATGGGATGCTTACATTCCCACAGCGATCAGCGCAGCCGGGTTTGGCTATGGGTGCATTCGCTGGCAAAGCAGTTGGTGCTGAGGAGAATATCAACAGCACAAGGGAGAGAATTTGCACAGGCATCACAGGCAAACACATTGTGAGTGACTACTTTGTTTGATTTTTGATGGCTACTTTTTGGTGTATACAAAGTCACAAGCCTTTTTTGGTTCTTTTTTAGGCACTCTAGTGGAAGACCAAGTCCACTGCAGTGTGATATACGAAAGAGATATAAATGTGTCTGCGCTAATTTTGGCTGAGGTTCGTTGGAATAGTTGGTCTTTCTTTTTCCGTGGGTCAATGTTGTCTGAGTCACTGACAAAGATAGTAACATCCTTGACGTGCGGTGTCGGTTAGTGTTAACTTCATAGAACGAACCATTCGGTGCAAGTCTATCAAATCTTGTGAACATAAAGAAAATCTCTCTTGCAATATCTTGACTTTGGTTTAGTGATATTGTTGTATATTTGTATGGTCGCTCATTAGCTTATTTATTTTTAGTCCATGTAGTAATAATGTTTATTGCCAAACACCAGTTTTTTTTTTAAGTAATTCTGTAAATCAAGTGTTGATCGCATAAAGAAAGCGTGTAAAAGGGACAAGTGGTTTGTGAAGTCGTAGCCAAATTTTGTTTGGGCCTTGAGTGGCGTTGCTATCCAATTTTGACTTCTTTTTTTTTATTTATTTTTTATTTTTTTGACTTCCTTTCTCTTGTGGATCCCATTGAATGATGCATGTTAGATGAGAGAAAAGGTTTGGTGGCCGAAATTTGTAACTTTTTGTTTTTTGCATGACGAATGTTTTTGTTTGATCTTGACTCTAGACATGTGGTGTGTGTGTTTATTTTTCTATAGTATGCGGGACTAACTTTTTTTCCCTCCGAATACTCAGGCAAATTGATAATTTGTAACCATAATTGTTATTAGGGTTAATTACTATGACACCCCTGAGGTTTGTCATATTAACAGTCATATACAACTTAGCCCTTTTTTGAACAAAGACATCATCTTAGTGAAAATTTTGATCCAAACAAGCCCTTAAAACGTTTGAAAAGATGAGATTGCCCTTTAATATTTAATTCATTTTTATACACACTATTACATCAGCACCATCATATATAAATAATATATATATATATGATGGTGCTGATGTAATAGTGTGTGTATATATATATATATAAAACCAAGTCCAACACAGCACCATCGTCACCTACCGTCACCCACCTATGGTCCTACACCACCGCAACTTCCACCCTCTCTCCACTGCTTGATCTGTGCCTCATATTCTCTTTGTTTCTACAAACTACAAGTCCTAATTTCACACCTTAGCACATATATACGTTTGTCCATACATATATATACCATCCCACCGATGCTAACCCAAACCAAAGCTTGTAATCCAATCGAGATTCCCGACGACGGCGACGACCAGTGGAAGCTTCGATGAAGGTGACCATCATACCAGACAACGGTGACGGCTAGAGAAGTTCCCAACAATGACTCGATGCTGAGGCTCCGCCGCTTCGGCGAGAAGAACGGTGATGGCGGTGGTGGTTCGATTAATCACAATCTATATATTCATACACATATATATAGGAAGAAGATAGATTACATGAACTTGAGGGATAAGTATTTGGGGGAAGTGGATTTGGGGAAGAAAGATGGATTACTGGTTATAAACATTGCTCCTTCAATTTTAATTTGATTTATACATCTTGTTTCATAAGATAGTTTCAGTGTTAAATTAACAACTTGTTTTATAAGATTGGTTCAGTGTTAATTTTATTTATACAACTTGTTTCAATTTTAATTTGATTTATACAGATCGTTTCAGTGTTAATTAACTTATAATTTGATTTATACAGATGGTTTGGTTACTAAGAAAATGCTCCAAATAAATTAGGCACATGTTTTAGTCTTTATACTAATTGAAACCCATTTTGCCATGTTTCCATGTGTTGGACACACACTGCCATTTTTGGTTCTCATCCTCCATTCTTCCATACCCCTCTGTATTGCTTTTGGCATCTCTTCTTCTGTAAAAAAAAATGTGTTTTTATTTCGTATTTTTAATCTCAATCTCTTATTATGCTGCAGAAATATATACATACATTAGAAATTTATACTGATGAACCTATTTTATTTCCAATCAGAACCTCTTTTCTCTGAGAAAAGTCAAGCACCATGGTAGTGGTGGTGGGTGTGGTGGCTATTGGTTTGGTAGGGTTATGAGGGTATTTTAGTCAATAAAAAAGAATGGTATTAGATAAATTGGTAATTGAATGTGTTAAAGGACAATAATGTCAATTCACCATGTGTAAGAACCATTGTGGTGTCTTTGTTAACTTTATGAAACCTAAAGGGGTGTCTTTGTCCAAAAATTAGCTAAGTTGTATATGGTTGTCAATATAGCAAACCTCATAGGGTGTCATTATAATTAATCATTGCTATTAAATATATGTACATGTCTTTTTCCTTGCTGAATTGAACAATATATAAACATCAAGTTCAACATAAAAATAAAAAAGAATGAAGAAGAGAAAAACAAAAATGATGGAACAAAAGGACACTGTAAATGAAAGCACGTTGGTAATTTTTTTTTTTTTCACCTTTCTCTCTCTTCAATTTCCCCCTCCTCTTCGTTTTCAGATTTCTAACTCTCTTTCTCTCTCTTGGATTTATCAGGGTAATTGGACATCATTTTTTTTCAAGAAATTGGCTTCTTTTCTGTTCGTTTTCAGATTTCTAACTCTCTTGCTCAATGTTGCCCTTGGCCGTCATGATCTTTTCCAACATCAATTTTACCAAGTCCATGTTGTCGTGTGATTCAGAGGCCAAACAATATATATATATATATAATCGGCAGAGGGCAGTGAAAAAATCGGGACAGTTGCATCATGGGCAAAGGTCTCACACTGCGGTTAAATAATAATAATAATACAATTTTGTTATTATTTTGCAGGAAAAAATAATTGCCAAGTTTTATACTTTTTTGTATATACATGTAAAGTAATTGTGATTTTTATGATTAACCAATTTCAATCCATCTGTATCTAGTCCTTAATACAAAAGTAAAGCTTTATCAAATATTTTCAATTACAATATTTGTTAAATCAATTTAATGAAAAATTACATATATAATTAGAGTAAACAGTATCTAAAAATGTCAACACAAAAAATATATTAATGTTAAAAACACACAAAAATCAATTCAGTTTTTGTAAAATTGAGTTTGTTCATTGTTGGTTGGCGAGGGAAGTAAGGGAAAATGGCAAAATACAGGAACCCATTTCTTTTACCACTATTAGTCTATCATCCAATCACAGAATACAAATAGAGCTCACAGTTCATCTGATCCACATGACATGAGAGCACATTGGTACTTTATCAAGGCTTCAGCTTGAATTTAAGAATTCTAAGCCCAACGGGCCAAAAGGAACAAATGTTCAAGGACAAACTAGCACAAAACATGGCCCAAAAGGCCCAAAAAAAACAACTGAAATTCAATCGAGTTAAAATTCAGTTGCTACTGGTTTTTCTCGAACCTTAAAGAATTAATCTGGCGGATGTGGAGGAGGTCTAGGATCATTCGCCCCATTTTCCCATTCTAGGGTTAAGAAAGCTTCCATTCGAGATCGCAAAACCCTAGATTGTAATCTTGTGTAATACAACATTCTTCCATTCACTATAGTGTCTGATACAAACTATGAGTGGTTTTCTGTTTTTGTTGTTTTAAAATCCTTAATCTTCTTTTTTTTAAATGGACAACTAACACCAATATGTGTTGTATTTTAGATTCGTGTATTTGTTGAGAATGTTGTAGAGTTCTGATGTGATATCTGGTGTTACTTGGAATAGGGGATATGGGCTTCATGATCTTAGGCTGTTGGACTAAGTTCGCATTTATTATGGCATCTTATTTCTTTTCTCTCAGTCAAGTTCTTATACCGTATATCAATCATATATGTATATGTTGAAAAAGATATATTAATGGATGGGTGATCGATTGATTGTATTTGTTGAAAAAGATATACTTAGTAGCATAGATAATGAAGTTATCATACAAAATTTTTTTAAGTATAAAAATTTGTCGACAACAATTGTAAAGGTACTCAATGAAATTATCAATGAAGGTTAAATATTTTTTTTTTTTTTTTTTTTTTTTGATAGTTTGAAAATAATTTATCTTATTGTTGTTTAACCTCCCCCACCCAAAAGAATTATCTCACTCCTTCACTGATTGAAGGTGCTTTTGAATACAACTTTAGTTAATACTAGGAGAAACATTTTTCATAGCTCCTAAGCCAATTTTGCTGCTTGTTAAAGAAATAATCTGATGAAGAAACCTCTAGGGATGTAAATTAATTGATCTTTCAAAGGGTCCTCTGTTTTTTTCCCTCCCAATCATTTATTCGTCTTTTATTTCCATCATTGAGAAACTAGTTCTTGCAGTACACAAGGTGGTAAATAGCTGTTGCTAAAAGTCATTTTACAACAAAGTTACATCACAAAATGTTCTTACAAACCACAATGAAAAGTTCCCTCTTGTAACAGATCTGATCACTTTAGGTTGCAGCAAAACACATTCACACAATGTAGGTATAGAAAACACCATATTAGTGCATCTGCCTAACAATTCCCCAATTACTTAAAAAAACACTCAAACAATATAAAATGGGGCAAAAAAAAAACACAATACATATAAAGAAAAGAGACTGAAAATCAAATTGTATGTAGAAGTCATTACAAGTAGATATGTTGATAACTACGCAACTACACATCTTTCATGCTCGAAAGGTATAGATGCTGATCATATAGCAAACTAGGACATCACTAGGCACTCCAGTCATAGGATGGGGCACAGTCGCAGTACACACCTTCGATGAAGATGCAAATGCACAAATGGCAAAACAATCACCTCCCACCATCTAATGGCAGAACAATATGCTCCCTATTGCTATCATACGCACCTGTTGTGTTACCAGTAAATTCAATTCCGAAAGTGTTTGATGTGTCTCCTAGTAGGCACTCAGTCTCTTCCGAATTCAATTCACCGTTAACCCATGGATGCTGCTCCATTATTCTTAGTCCCTCCAGTTCCATTGCTACTTCTTTCATACTAGGTCTTTCTTCCCCATTTACTCATAAACACTTCTTTGCAAGAACAGCAACCTCTTTGAGCTCTTCAGCATTTCCCTCATGAACTATACTGCACTCAAGAACTTCAAACAAGCGATCTTCTTTCAACGCAAAAGAAAATAAATAGCTAGGTTTTTCTCCTCCTCTGGCCTGTCAAAAGAGATTGCCTTCCTTCCCGTTAGCAACTCAACAAGGACAACCCCAAAGCTGTAAACATCACTTTTCCCCGTCAATTGACTTGTCTGCAAGCACTCAGGGTGTAAGTATCCAAGAGTTCCTTGCACCAATGTGGATAGCTACATTTGATCAAGGGGCACTAACCTTGATGCTCCAAAGTCCCGACACTTTTGCAGTGTAATTTCCATCCAAGAGTATGTTTGTAGGCTTGACATCTCTATGGATGATAGGAACCGAAGCTGCAGAATGCAAATAAGAGAGAACTCCAGCAGTTTCTGCAGCAATCCTTAGACAAGTTTGCCAGGAAAATGGAGCCGTCTTGCTTTCATTATGTATGTGGTCATGGAGAGTTCCGTTCGTGATGAACTCATAAACTAATAAAGGGACTTCTGTCTCCAAACAACAACCCAAGAGCTTGACCACATTTCTGTGATTGATATGGGAAAGTACAATCACCTCATTGATGAATTGTTGTATTTGGCTTTGATCCACTATTTTGGACTTTTTGATGGCGACAACCCTGTTATCTGATAAAGTTCCTTTAAAAACTGTACCATAACCTTCTCGTCCGACAATTTTGTCATCACTGTAGTTGTTAGTGGCCTTTTTAAGCTCCTCTGCTGGGAATATTTTTGCTGTTTCGGTAGACCCTTCCTGTCTAGAGAGTTGCTGTTGCAACATTAGACCACCATTTTGCTGAAAGAACTTCTCTTTGAGCATA